GTTCCTCCTGTCTGCTCTGCATAGCACATTGGAGATGGCAACAAGTGACCCTCCTCTCAAAATTAATGAAATAACACCCATTTACATTTAGTTTACATTTTTGTATTGCACAAATTGTGTTGCCAACTGCAGCAGTGAATTAATAAAGCTCTCTTTTTAATTGCAATAGTTTATTAGACTGATTTTGTACCTTTATTGATTATGTATTCATTTGCTGTAATGATCTGTTTAGAATGTTTGACATTTGTTCACATATTAGAGTAGGAATATTATTTGCTAAGTACATATATGTATTACAATAATCATAGTATCATAGAATTATACAATTTGGAGGAAGGCTATTCAGATCATCATTTTGATTCTGGAAATTTGAAGAAGCTATCCAATTGCCTTTTTAAATAAATTTCGCTTCATGCTGTCTGAAAGGTTCCATTGAATCTGCTGTGCAATATCATAACAGACTGAATATATAACATTCCAAAATAAAGATTTTTGATAATTTTGAGTCTGTTAGTCATTTTATTAACTCATTCGAGATTTATTTCTGAATCTTCAGATAATCTGATGGATTATATTCCTAGACCCTTTTGATTTAGTCCAGATCAGGAGTACCTTTCAGGTGATGCCTGTTAACATTTTATCAATGATGTACATGCATTCAGCAAAATAGTTGACAGCTGTTCTCTTGACAATTTCTTGACAAATTAGTCAAACTGGTTTGTTTAAACGTGAAACAAAGTTTGGCAGTTAACTGTCAGTCCTCTGTAATATTCATTGCCCACGCAACTCCTCTCCTAATCACAGTCCATTTACCAACTAATCAGCACTATCTTCTCATAGCAATATTGTTTTCTCTTACCCATGTCGACTTGATTTTTTTGCTCCCCTTGTCCAGTCCCTTTCCACTTACATCTGAGATTCATCTGACACTTTACATCAGTTTCAGAATTTCCAATCTGCGGGCTCCAGCTATCACCTCTTTACCATGAATGTGCAAGCCCTTCACACATCAATCCCCACATCAAGCTGGTCTCAGGCCTCTCCTCCTCCTCCTAGAAAAAAGGCCTGAACTGTCCACATCCACCACATTCTTCCTCCATGTGACCAAGCTCGTCGTCACTCTGAACTACTTCTCTTAACTCCTGTCACTTTCTTCAGGTCAGAGGGGTGGCCGTGAGTACCCGTATGGACGCCAGTTATGCCTGTCTTTTCGTGGGGTATGTGGAACATTTATTGTTCTAGTCCTATTCTGGCCCTCACCCACTCGCTCCAGTGTATCAATGATATCATCGGTGCTGCTTCTCTCTCTCAATCAGAATTGGAAAAAATTATCAATTTATCAATATCAATTATCCAATTTCCATTCCGCTCTCACCTTCCCCTGTTCATCTCTGGCTCCTCCCTTCCCTTCCTCGACATCTCTGTTTCTATTTCTGGGGATAGGCTAGCCACCAATATCCATTATAAAATCACTGACTCCCACAGTTACCTTGACTATACATCCTCACACCTTGTTTCTGGAGAGACTCTATTCCATTCTCCCAGTTTCTCCATCTCCATTGTATCTGTTGTGACGATGCCAACTTCGAAATGGGAGCCTACAAAATGTCCACCTTCTTCCTCAACCGAGGATTCCCCAGCACCGTGATTGACAGCGCCTTCAGGTGGGTTGGATACATCTCCCACACTTCAGCATCTCAACCCCTCTCTTCCCTCCCACAGCAGGGATACGGTCCTTTTGTCCTCACCTACCATCCCACCAGCATCCACATCCGGAGGATCATTAGCCGCCATTTCTGCCACCTCCAGTGGGAAGGTACCACAAGATACGTATTTCCCTCTCCTCACTTGTCATCTTTCTATAAGAACCGTTCCCTCTGGGACACCCTGGTCAACTTCTCCTTCACTCCCAACACTCCACACAGTCCCATGGCACCTTCCCCTGCAACTGCAGAAGGTGTAACACCTGCCCATTTACTTCTTCACCCCCTCAGTATCCAGGGGCGTTTCCAGGTGAAGTAGCAAGTTACCTGCACTTCACTCAATCCAGTCTACGCTCACAATGTGGTCTCCTCTACACTGGGGAAACAAAGCATAGACTGGGTGACTGCTTCACAGAACACCTATGTTTTGTTTCCAAAAAGACCCTGAGCTTCAGTTGCCTGCCACTTCAACACACTACCTTGTTTCCTGGCCAACATTTCTGACCCAGGCTTGTTGCAGTGAAGCTCAGCACAAGCTGAAGAAGTACCTCATTTTCTGCTTGTAAACTCTACAGCCTTAAGACCTTAAGACATAAGACCATAAGATATTGGAGCACAAAATTAGGCCATTCAGCCCATCGTGTCTGCTGCGTCAATCATGGCTGATAAGTTTCTCAACCCCATTCTCCCGCTTTCTCCCCATAACGAGTGATCATCTTGACAATCAAGAAGCTATCTATCTCTGTCTTAAATATACTCAATGACCTGGCCTCCACAGCCTTCAGTAGCAGTGAATTCCATAGATTCACCACTCTCCAGCTGAAGAATTTTCTCCTTATCTCCGTTCTAAAAGGTCTTCCCTTTACTCTAAGGCTGTGCCCTCGGGTCCTAGTCTCTCCAACCAATGGAAACATCTGTCTCAATATCGAGTTCAACAATTTTAGGGCTGAGGTACCTTCTCCTCTGCCCTTACCCGAGCCCCCCACACCAGGTCTTCTTATCACATGGTCTGCTGTTACACACAACCCATTGTTAGCCACTGTTGTCCCCATTAGTAGCTATTCATTCTCCAAGGCTGATGGTATCCATTCCTTTATCGGTCTAACTGTTACAGAGTCATACAGCACAAAAACACCTCCTTCGGTCCAACCAGTCCATGTGGAGCATAATCCCAATCTTAAACTAATCCAACCAACCGACTTCTGGCCCATATCCCTCCAAACCTTTCCTATTCATGTACTTATCTTAATCTTTTAATTGTACCCACATCCACCATTTCCTCACAACATTCATTCCATACTCAAACATTCTCTGTAAACTTGAGTCAGAGATAGTAGGAACTGCAAATGCTGGAGAATCCGAGACAACAAGGTGCAGGCCTGGATGAACACAGCAGGCCAAGCAGCATCATAGGAGCAGAAAGGCTGACGTTTCGGGCCTAGACCCTTCATCAGAAAAGGGGGAGGGGAAGGGGGTTCTGAAATAAATAGGGAGAGAGTGGGAGGCGGATAGAAGATGGATAGAGGAGAGGATAGGTGGAGAGGAAACAAACAGGTCGAAGAGGCGGGGATGGAGCCAGTAAAGGTGAGTGTAGGTGGGGAGTTAGGAAGGGGATAGGTCAGTCCAGGGAGGACGGACAGGTCAAGGGGGCGGGATGAGGTTGGTCGGTAGGAGATGGAGGTGCGGCTTGAGGTGGGAGGAGGGGATAGGTGGGAGGAAGAACAGGTTAGGGAGGCAGGGACGAGCTGGACTGGTTTTGGGATGGGGTAGGGGGAGGGGAGATTTTGAAACTTGTGAAATCCACATTGATACCATTGGGCTGCAGGGTTCCCAAGCGGAATATGATTTGCTGTTCCTGCAACCTTCAGGTGGCATCGTTGTGGCACTGCAAGAGGCCCAGGATGGACATGTCATCTGAGGAATGGGAGGGGGAGTTGAAATGGTTCGCGACTGGGAGGTGCAGTTGTTTATTGCGAACCGAGCGTAGGTGTTCCGCAAAGTGGTCCCCAAGCCTCTGCTTGGTTTCCCCGATGTAGAGGAGGCCACAAAGGGAACAGCGGATACATTATACCACATTAGCAGATGTGCAGGTGAACATCTGCTTGATGTGGAAAGTCTTCTTGGGGCCTGGGATGGGGGTGAGGGGGGAGGTATAGGGGCAGGTGTAGCACTTCCTGCGGTTGCAGGGAAAAGTGCCGGGTATGGTGGGGCTGGAGGGGAGTGTGGAACGGACAAAGGAGTCCCGGAGAGAGTGGTCCCTCTGTTAAGCACAAAAGGGTGGGGAGGGAAAAATGTCTTTGGTGGTGGG